CATTTTCCATTCATTTCCAACAATAAGAACAAAGGTTTCGAAATATTATGTATTTATGGTAGGATTCATCTTTTTTCACACACCATACGTGAATTGTAAATTTGTAATATTCTTCGACTAGAGTCCATCATATAAGTCCTTGTCAAATTCATTTGTACAAGGACTGAATCTCATTGTTTCAATAAGATGTTGGACAACTTGATCAATGGCTTAGCTCTTGTATCTAGACCATTGGATAAGGAAAGAGAATGATCTCATGGTTTCAATAAGATGTTGGACAACCTGACCAATTGCTTAAATATTGTCGACTACTATGTATAGTTGATGAGCCATGTAAAGCTGTTTGTCAAATCATGGGATAAAAATGATATACAGTGTCTTGTACATTATTGATGGTAAAAATTGGTGGGTCGATCTCCCATTTAAATTGTTCCTCGTACTTGGTAGTACTTTTCATTTGTTTGAGCCCCATTTTTGGGACAAAAATACAGTTTTAAATAGTATTTTGTTGAAGATTGTGTGATTAAAAAGTAAGGAACACTGTTCGATTTATGTGTATTGTTATTTTATAGGAGAAAGTGTGGTTAAAAATGATTTTTTGAGGAAAAAAATGGGGGGCCAAACATGGTCATATTTGCATAATCTCCTCCCAATAAATCAAATTTTGAATCCCCATAAAATCATTGCGAAATTCTTGTAAAAACACCACTTCAAAATTTTGAGCACTGGTTTAGGGGGAAAAAAAAAGAGCAAATCTCATAAATTTAAATGTGTAAAGATCATGTGATTATTATAGTTTGCTACCTTTGGTATCGATTTTACAATATAAAAGGTTAAGTACTAACATACTCATTTTTAAAGGTTAGGAGCTAACTAGACACTCGTTAATAAACTGGGGATCAATAGCATAATTTCTCCTTAGTTTCATTTAATTAGCATCAATTCATGGTAATTAAAAAGCCAAAGAATTTGCCCCGGGGCATGGGCATAGTTCAGTAGTACAAATGATAGGAGTGAGGTAATCTCATTTGAGCTGACAGCCGCAGTATGAGTGTTCGATTCATGCCTCTTACAAGGTATGAAATTTGAATATTTGCAAGCACCAGTATAGCAACTTTTGTACCCTAGCCTGCTGAGACACATCGTACGATTTACTTCCTCCACGATACTCTAGGGATGGGACTGGGCGGGGCCCTTTTTAAAAAGTCAAAGAAGATTTTCAGCCAGGATTCCTTTGGGAAAATGTAAATATTTAAGGACCCTGTTACTTCCATCACATATAGGGTTTGACTTTCACCAAATTTACAACTAGCACTTTGACATTGACCACCTGCCATCATTATTCATTACCCTGACTCTACCGTTACTTTACTTTCGAGGGGTCAATTTTCAAGCACTGATACCACCGCAAATAACATGGCAACAACAATCCATTTTTGAGGCTGTGGTGATTTTGAAAAGTCAAAATTGCTTCTGAAGTTAAGTTGTTACTTTTAAGTATCTTTTGAAATTTCGTAAAAGTATTTTATTTAATTAGAAGAACTTTCAGATAAAATTAACATAAAATAGCAAACTTTTCTATGAAATTCTGCCACCAAAAGTAAAAACAGAGCACTGTCAAACGAGCCCTCTTAACGCTTTCCAAATGTCACATATATATTAGAAAAAAGTTACGGGTGTGTTTGACTGGATATTATTGAGGAAAGAATGTAGTTAAAATGGTAATACGATGAGAAATATGTGGTTAAAAAGTAATGAAAAATTATTGATATGATGAAAAATATTAATTTATTGAAAAATGTGTAGTTAAAACTAAATTTTAAAATAATGTATTTTGAAGTAATGTGCGTTAGACATGGGTACACATCATTTTCCTTCACAGGCAGCACATGGTGGGCTGAAACCAAGAATTATTAACTTTTCACAAAGGAAAATGGTCATTGTTTAGACATTTGCCCCTGCAAACATTGATGATCATATGCCTTTTATCAAAACGTGTAATGCATATCAAATATCTGAAATTATAAAATACAATATTTACTTAATACATAGTCGGACTTGAGGAGAGGTTCAAAAGGCTGTCGCCTTAGGCCAATTCTTTAGGGGGTCCAATTTTTTTTTTTGCTTCCTTTTTTATTGTAAAAATTCATTGTCGTTTATATTCGTTCACTTGTGTTCGATTACTCCGAACAATGAGACTTCTTCAACAATGATATCGTAAATTATAGAATTAGTGTCTAGATTTAGAATACTTATTCAATTGTGTAACACCCCTCTCGATATATATTTATGTATCGTCACACACATCTTTGTTGATCTGATAGTTTATTAACCTTAATTTTTTTAATTGCATTGACTCATATATTTTATATATTTAATTGATTACTGTATAATTTTTTTCTCTAAATTCAATTATATTTTTTCAATATCTTGTTGATTGTATCATTGATTTGTGGGTGTGATTGGATTTCTTTTCTCAATCTATAATCAGTTATCAATTAATGTAAATTCGTGTCTTTTATGAGGTAATTTGGTGCAATATATGGTTAAATATGATATGATTTAATTTTTTTCATTTTACTGTTACATTATGAAAATATTTATGACCTTAGATAATATATTGTTATTGTTATTGCAATAACAAATTTTTTTCTCTAAAGGCTGTGAGCCTTGTGCAAAGTGAGAATGTGTGAAAAATTTAATCATTTTTGCATATAAGAAGATTATTTCCTATTTATGTGAAATTGAATTCATTATGAATGCGAAGTGTATTTACCACACACATGTAATGGAAGGAAATCTTCCCCCACTATAGCTAAGTTTGAAATATTGATAATCATTTATTATTATTATTATTATTATTATTATTATTATTATTATTATTATTATTATTATTTTGCCTTATCTGTTAATAGATTGTTTAGACACTTTTTTTCCACAAATTTGCCTTCATAAGATATCTTATAACCATATTGTCGAATAAAAACAAAAATCTTGGTTTGATTTTGTACTTGTGGAATTGAATATTTAAGAAAGCAGTTAAATGTCAAACAAGTGAGTCAAATACCATACCGATTACAATTGTATCAACAGAAAGATGTTTCTCCAACTTGAAATTAATTAAGATTTATCTCAAATCAACTATGTCACAACAAAGATTGAATTGATTGAACATGTTATCCATTGAAAAAGAAATAGTTGAACAATTCAACTATTCAAAATTGATTAATATATTTTGTCTCTANTAATATTTTTGTCTCTAAGACCGCATGACGAGTTGTATTTAAGTGATCGTTTAAAATATTTCGCATTGTTATTTGATTATATATATATATATGTTTGAATATTTCATTTTATTATTTTCTTGTTGATTTTAAGTTAACAAATTTAGTTCCATAAAACTTTTATAAATGAAAAAAATTGATTACTTAAAACGATTTAGGAGCTCAAATTCTGAAATTCACCTCAGGCCCCGCGAAATACAGGTACGGCCTAATAGTTCCTACAATTAGTCAATTATACAATTTTCAAAGAAAAAATTGGAAACTAAAGTCAAATAAAATACTTTTAATAAAGGAAAAAAAAATTAATAACGTACGATTATGGGCGTCCAGACGACCGCTTAATTTCGCTCTAACTATCAAGTCGAGATGTTTCGTCCATGCCCCATGTTTAGACACACTTTTTAGAACACTGAATATATACATAGCAGCAATGAGTGGTAGGTTGCAGGCTTGCTTGCGGCAGCAGGTCACCATGTTATTTCTTAGAATGACAAACAGAGAGAACAAAAAGTTGGCTACAATATTTCTCCCAACATTCTTTTAGTGTTCAATATCGAAATTATAAGTTGATTAATAAACATTTTTTTGCTTAAACTTGTTACCCAATTTCTATTTTCTTTAAACAGTCACTACAACCACTCCCATTATCAGGACTTTCCTACATAGCTCTTAAAATTGACGAAATGCTCACGCGAGAATTTATGTGACACAAGGACTTCGAAGCAATCGACTCAAAATTTAAAGTGGAAGACTTGGGGTATTCAGACTTGTTATTAGTCTATTCTGCATGAAATAAATGGCAGTGAAATTTCGTTTTCGTCGCAAAATCAAAGAGACGTGCACAAGGAGTTGGAAGCAATCGACTCAAAATTAGGTGACTTCACGTAATCAATCCGATTCTAAACATGAACCTTCAAACCATAATACTTATATATTCAGACCTCACAATTGAATTGTCTGATCAAAACAAATGCTGTCGTACTGGATACATTTGAAACGGCTCTGTAAATTTAAAATTCCCTGATGACAAACAAAGGTGAAATTCGAGAAAGGTTGGTGTCTGAGAAAAAGAAAACACTGAAACAGAATACAGAGTTCTGTAGAAATCTTGCATGGCAACAATGCAACACCAAGATTCTACGAGAAAAAACCCGTCATCTTTAGTTCTTCATATGTTAAGGTGTGCAGGATGTAGGAAAGCAGAGAGTTAATTAAACGGGCTCTGGATGAGGATTCACGCGTGGTCCTGTTATTGCTCCAGGTGCTGGTGCTATTGTGACCTGCAAACCCCCACGTTGCCCTGCCTGCAGCCTGAAAGCAACTTCACTTGCTGCTAGAGCTTCAGCTTCCTGATTTAACAAACACAAGCCGAAACAGAAATAAGTAAATAATTCAAAAAAAATGTAAAACAATACAACATGAACGGAAATTAATGATGTATCATCACATTGGCGACATCGCAGCTTTACTACCACATATACGAAAAGTGGAACTGGGTGACCCTTTACTGAGTTACCAATCTTTGAATCAATAAAAAGAAATATATCAGCAGTCGTGGAACATTTTTTAACTCGGTAATTTATTTTTTTATAACAGAGATTAGCATTAAAACACATAGGGATGGAATTACTAGTTACTACTATTCAGGAATTAACTATGTCCAGTAATTAATTCCAAAATGCATCTTGGTCCCATCTCAAAACTCTAGAAGTCTTATCTTTTCTGAGAAGAGTTCATACGAAAGACTGAAACATTAATACCAGCATGAAATTTGAATTTATGTTCACGTAAACTAATAGATAGCACATAAGATTGTTCTATAAAAACGAGCATTGGTTTGGAGAATTAAAATAACAAGAAGACCAATAAATGAACCTATGGCCTCGTGAACCAGGCACACATGCCACAACCCAAACAAAAAAAAAAAAAAGAATAAACACACAGAGAAACAGACCAAGGAAAAATGGCGACCTTTTGCCCCTACTGATTTTGGTAAATATATCACAGAAACCATTCCAAAATTCAAAGGGAGGTCAGAATGTTTAAGTTTATTAATAATTATTGACTAAGAAAAAATCAGGGATTCACATTTGAAACTCCTCCACGCCATCCTCGAGAAGAAGAAAAGGAAAAGAAAAATGGGGAAGAAAAGAGAGTTTTTTTCCAAGTCTGCATGATAGTTTGCTGAAGGATATCATAACTCTTTTAACTTATAATACAATTCAGGCAATTTATAAAAAGGTTAATGAATGCTAAATGCACTACATTTTCACCAATTCAACAGAATATGACAGCTCTTTAAGCTCTAGAGACACTGCCATGTGTTTTGTTTAAAAGCATGCTGGGAAGTGTTTATAAACTGTTAATATTTTAAATAGAGAAAAACGAGTGGTGGATAAGTGACAGTACTTGTAGCCTGTGGGCCCTCGAAATGTAAGGATAAAAAGTGGTAGTGTTTATATACAATTTATAAACATGAGCCAAACATAGGCTCAGGTACTATGCTCCTCCTGTAGAGCATAAATTTGAGATCTAGTTAAATCAAAAAAGACTTTGTAATGCAAACCTGAAGAAATATTTATGCCAATGGAAATAAGTGAAATCTATCTAACATCTCTAATGTTGAACAAATCACCTTGAATTATAGCCCCTGTTTGGTTTGTATAAAAAATAGATTTTTAGTAGATTTTGATAAAAGTTGATGAAATGTGTGGTTGAAAAGTTGGGTCTCATGGTTGAAAATGAGTTTTAAAAATTGGGGCCAATTAGGGGCATATATTTATATTTGTAAACCTTGTTCTCTATCTTTTTGTTTTTTGTCATTCTTCTATCTTGCTAGAATTCTCTGAATATGCTTTCGTCCTTGTTCGTGTCTACATTATGCAACATAAACATCATTATAAAAACTCAAGGTCCATTCTATGATTGGATGATGGGAAATGAATCACACTTTCGGCAAATAAGTGTGTATCCAGGGAACCTAGTCATCCCTATTGGTGACCATGTCTGAAGTTGTCAACCTCAGGAATTTTCTTTTGTCAATAAAATAGGAAAGGGCGTCTTAAAATCACCAAGCGCAATGTTGATTCAGAAATCAACCTCTAAAGTTGGAACTATTTCTTTTAAGTTGCAATAACAAAAAGTGAAACCCCACGTGAAAATTTGAATTCCTTCATTAAATGTTCCTCCCAAGCCTAGTATTAGAACATTATTGAATCTACATGTTGATATCAGCTTATATTTTGGGACAATGTATATACTTTCATATAGGTTTAACATAATTACTGACACACATACAACAGGGGTGGATCCCGGATTGGACTAAAAATAAAGTTTTAGCAGGACTAATATGTAAAAAATAATTTCCATATAAAATTTTTTTACATATAAAAAAAAATTAAACATCAAAAATTGAAATGGGCTGGGGCAGCCCAGTCCAGCCCCCCCTAAATCCGCCATTGACATGCTGTCAATCTGCATGTCAAGTGTCAATTGACTACCATCATGTTTTGGAGTATGATAACGAATAGGAAAACCCGGAAGGCGTATGAAGATCAGAAAATGACCAGGGAAAAAAAATCTGACCTGCCTTATGGTCAGTCAATTGACAACCATCATGTTTTGGAGTATGATAATGAATAGGAAAACCAGGAAGGCATACTGAAGATCAGAAAATGACCGGGGAAAAAAAATCTGACCTGCCTTTGTCTTCGACGCTGCAACATACTGATGGCCCAAGCCATAATATAGCAGGGAAGAAGGAAGCTGGCAGCCCGAAGCAAGAAAAGCTGTCAAGTGTCAACCATAAAATTGAGTGAGCAACCATGCTAATACAAGCTAATGCACATAGGCATGCATATAACAGAAAATCCTACTCACAGAAAAAAAGGTGGATACATCATCATCAGCACTGTCACTATATCCCATCGTTAAAGCATGCCTCAAGAGTAGAAGAGCCATTAGCTGGCACAGAAGATAGATTTAAAAAGCAATCAAAAATAAAATATAAAAATTTACTGAGCTATAGATAAGAGAAACCCAAAATTAGGCAGTAGAGATAAACAAAGATCAAGTCGTTCTGCCGCCTTCACCTCTAATTGGTGAAAGGGCCAGCCATAAAATAGAATTGAAGGACTGGGCTATACCATGGAATGATTTTTTAATCTCATTTTTCACAAACCCAGAGGGAAACATGAACAGTACAAACTAGCTGTTGGAAAAATATCTTATCAACGAGACGAAATAGCAAGAAGATTAGCACAATGTCATCTCACCCATTTCCTTTCCATATTCCTGTCTTTGTTGTTATGAGTGTGAGGGTGGGGGTGGGGATGGAGATGGGAGTTTCTGTGCACGGGGGACTGACATGTGTATGTCTTTGTTTTACATGTGTGTGCCAGAGAAAAAGAGAGTGAAAGGGAGATAGCAAAGGCTTTTATTTTAGTGCAGTGGACGCTGACAAAAGAATGAATAGCAAGCAAGGAGAGCATAACATTTAGAACTTACAATTAATAAGGTTAAAGTCATAAGATACATATTATAATCCTATATGAATGAGAGTAGGCTGAGTAGCAATTCCTTACAATTAAAGCAGCAGAACGACAAAATGCAGCTCCACTAGCATTTGAGTCAGCATACTCATCATAATCAGCCTCGAGAAGACGATGCTCAGCTGCCGCCATAGCCAGAAGTCGCGGGTCACGCAAATCCAAAGGAGAACCAGCAATTGTCCAGCCCCCACTGTAAAGGTATAATTTCAGAGTTTATCAGTCCAAACAACTTAAACTGATGCAATTTAGAACATTAACTAGCTAATGTTACAAAGAATTAGTGTGGAAGTGATTTGTCACTCGAAAACAAAATTTGATGCTTCACAGGGAGCCATAATAGATTAGAGCAAGAGTAAATATTAAATAGTTTTTAACTGAAACAATTTCTCTTTCGAAAATGTGGGAATCAACGAGATATTAGCACATTCATCAATCACACATATTTCGTAGTTAGACTTATGATTACACCATCTTCTGGTCTTTGCAACAATTCAGAATAGATATGCAAAGGGGTTATAGTGGCAAGCCGCATGGTGATGGAGATATTATGGTGCTGATGGGGTAAAAAACAATAGCATGTGAACATGAAAAGTTTGATGCTTTGGGCAGCAGCTGTGTTTGGGATTTGGAGAAAGAAGACGAGCACAACCATTTGGTACAAGGTGTATCATAAATTTCATATCAATGGCTGTTCATTTGTTTTGTGGGTTCCAATATCCACACCATGGTTGGTTGACTACCAACAGGAACTATTTATCTCATTATATGACATTCCATTTTGCATTTGCAAAAACCATTTCTTTATTCAATATATTTACGGCAGTTTATCTTTTTCATCCATAGATATAGCAAACCATGTTCAGCATATCTTATATATTATTTGAAACTATATAAGAAATCCCTCCAAAATTTCCTATCAATTGAAAGAGAAATGTTTATTTTGCATACATTAAACAGATTACCAAACAAAACATTATCTAATATTTGTACTCACCATATAAAGGCGCCTATTCTTTTCTAATCCAAAACATGTTCCCAAGCTTAACCAACGTTTAAAATTTTAAATTAACAGAAAGCAATTAAACGTCATCAATTACGATCTCTAATGACTAATAAGCAGGCTGGATGAGAATCAAATACAAATTATGCATGATTCAAGTCCCTATATTATTGCCTCTAGACGGTCATTGGCATCTTTCATAGTGTTCCCCCATACTAATTTAAATGTAATAAGACATGAGTGGGAAAAAGGCACAATCAAGATGGTGACAAACTGTAGATACATAAGACAGACAACTATGAACCCCAGTTTGAGCCCCATTTTTTGGGGATAATATATTTTGGAATAATGATTTTTTGGAGAATGTGTGGTTAACAAGTGGAGAAAAGTTTTTGGTTTACATGTAAAATTATTTTATAGGAGAACATGGGGTTGAAAATGAGTTGAAAAAATGAATTTTAGAATAATGGGGCTCAAACAGGGGCTTAATATCAACAGATATTCAGTCATCAACAAACAAATCCAGTTTATTTCTATATACAAATAACATTAGGCAAGAGAAGTGCTGTGTTGGGTAACCACTGGGTGTTACTCCAAGGAATCGCCTATATGTGCCACAAATATTAAGTTCAATCGACAGGGACCCAAAAGTTAGTATTGCTTTTCCTGCATCATTTATTAAAAATCTACCCCCCAAGGTCATGTCATCAACACCCCCACCCCTATTAGCAGACTTGGGCTAATATCAGACAAATAATTAGCTTTCTGTGTATCTAAATAGACACACATTAATGAAACCTTGAAATTTCTGGAAATTACATATGTTACTATTCATGAGCATTGCTTCTATAGATATCGCAACACTAGCTTCCAAGATCATCTATGTTTACTAAATAAAAATTGTTATATCAATACATCCAAAGGTTCACTCAGAACACATTAACAAATTGAACAAATAAGAAAAAGGACCAAGTACTCAAAACATGCCTGATTTCAATGGCGGTATCATCATGTTGGATAGGAGGTGGAGCTGTATAGCCAGGTTGGTAAGGCTGTATAGCGGGGAAAATTAAATGCACAAATTAGCTAATAATAAAAATGTACAACTCATAACACCTACATTTTAAACAATCCTGGCATATAATTACATATCATCTCTCAAGATTGCTATGTTTGACCACCGAAATATGAATCTTACTCACAATATTTACCCTCACTCAATGCTGGAATCTAGTCCATAACAAGTGTGTGAAAACTAAAAGGGAATATAAGCTCATGATTTTCACTTTTCAAGTCTCGTGTACAGTAGTAATAGAAAGTACTAAATCTAAACTAGAATTGTATGGGGCAGTTAAGCATTGAAGCATCAAAACTCAAAAAGCAGAAAAAATCAATCAAACAAATGAGCGTCGGCACACCTGATGGCAGATCTCACATGTTACATCTCCTTTCTCATTGCACCATCTCTGAACACACTTCCTATGCGCATACTGGATTTTTCAAAGGAACAAGAAGAGACAATAGGAAGTAAGTTTGTCATAGGAAAATCTATAAACGAACAAACCACACATATGGACAGGCCAATAAAATTGAATCTCCAAAACCATAAACACTGAAGGCAAAGTACATATAGAAGTTACTTCACACTTTTTGATATCATCATCACCATAAAGAGAGCACAGGCATATACGTATGTGTACAGACTAAATAAGTGTAAGTAGATAGTAAATTTGCCTAAATAAAAAAAGCAATTAAGCACACAAAGTACCTTCAGACTGCCATTACAAGCACAAGGAATCTCTAAATTTTTAACACTGTCTTCTTCCTGGCAAATGCGACATTCCATAGCTTGAATCAAACAGTATTCTTCACCAACTACTCGTTCTTCTTCATCATCCAGAATATCAATTACTGAAATAAAGGGAGCAACAATTTGAGAGCGTGAACACTCCCCAGAACCCTCATCCCCTTGCAGTGATTGCAATAATGCGGGCATGTGATCAACCAAGTGCTCTCCCATTGCGTCCTACTAAAATTATATTAGTTATAATAAAAATTCATAAATCATTAACAGACTTGAAAAATGAATTTAAAAGCAGCTCAAAAAGAATGAACTCTTTTTCTCATCGTTTTTCAAGTAATGAAAATTGAGAGCATTTCAGTAGAAACGTGAATATATTTTATGTCTTACCTCCAAAGTAAAATTACATCCACTTTCTCCTGGCACAAACCATCGATTTTACATAATTCAAATCACAAACTTTTTTAAATTTCATAAATTTTTTTAACAAATATTGCAAATGAGATTTACAAAAATACATGATTTTTTTCTCCCCTATAATCTTGGGGTTATGATTTCTAATTTCTGCTTTCATATAAGCATAATGTAAATCAATTTTTTTGACAAAAAAAAGTTCAAAGCATTTAAAATAATAATGCAAATTGCTGTTAATTACTAAACACAAAAAAAAAAAAAAAAANAAAAAAAAAAAAAAAAAAAAAAAAAAGATCTTTCAGTTTTCTCAGCTACCAAAGAGAGTTTTAACAAGACAACGATCAGAAATTTCCAACCAAAAAATTCTAAAAATCTAAACCCATGTTCAAAAGCTCCAATCAATGGGATCAGTACGTATATATAAAGCAAGAAAACCAGAATCCAGAACAATTAGACAATCGCTTGTAAAAAAATATCAATAACAATTGTATTGAAGGCTAAAAAAGAAAAACAGAACTGATAAAATTAAAATGAGAGTACCTGAATGCAGATGATGTGTGCTAATTCTTTCTCAAAGTGTTTCGGAATGGATCCCTCCTTCAGACTAGATAGAAAAGTCGTAGCTCTGCTTGGAAATTGACAATGAAATTTAAATTAATTTTATGATTATTTTAATAAAATAGTTGGCATTTAACTATTTATATATGCGCGTGGTTAAATATCTAGAATTACATGTATAGGGATACAAGGTAGTTATGTACGATTGTCAGTGACTTAATTGGGATAAATTTAAGTATTGTGATTTAATTGAGATGTTGTTAAAAGTTCAGTGACTGATGATGAAATTTACCCTTAAAACGAAAAGGAAAGCAAAAGGAATGAAGGGTTTATAAAGCTAAACGCTTGGGTTTATCGAGCTCTTGCAGACCTCAGTTATGGATGACAAATCAGCTTCAGAAACGATCGAGCAAGACATGGAGCTCGAACCCCAAGCAGCCGATCCATCTGAGCCGGCGCTAACTGATTCGACGACAGCCACTTCTGAAAACGGCTGCGGCTCGAAGCGGGACAGGGAGGAAGAAGAGGAGGAAGATAATGGAGAGAAGAAACTGAAGTTTGACGAGAAGTCCGTCGAAGAACAACGTCTGGAGAATTTGGAAGACGGTGAAGCAGAAACGGAGGAGTCGGGTCCGGTCAGTTTGGGTCCAAAGGTATTTGAATCGTCCAAGGAGATGTTTGATTACTTTTACAAGTTACTGCATACTTGGCCTCCGAGCATCAATGTGAATAAGGTAAATTGATTTCTGAGCTCTTTATTTTACTTTTAGGGATTATTTATTGATCAAATTAACAGTGTTTTGGGGGAAATTGTTTATAATAACCGAAGTTATCCATATTGGAACCGTGCTTAAAGTAAGATTTGATATTTGACGTGTTCTTGCCTTATGCTTAAATGATTAAACATGTTTTCAGAAAATGAATATTGTTGGGGATTGGTTTGTATTCACTGGGTCCAATCCACCCTTGCGAAGGGTCCCTGAGATATCTAAATGGGAAGCATAAAATATTGTTACCCCCAAGAGACGTGATATTTTCTGCAGAAATTTGATTGTAAACCAGTTTTGCTTCAATAGAGGTAGGAAGTTGGAGGTAGTGCTAGGTTACTAACTCAAGCAAAAGATAGCAAAATATGTTAAAAGGTGGTTTGCAGGGTGCACATGTATTTGGATAAAGCTATTTTTACAATCTTTGTTGACAACTTTATCTGTTGTCTAAATGCATTGATATATCTGCTTTTTGGGTTTGCACAGACAAGAGATTGATATTTTGTATTGATCATAAACTTACGATGCATATCAAAACTTTCTACTTTTCCAAAACTTCTACATCATAGAGTTGAATACCATCTTGCCATAAAATATAAAAACAAAAGATTAATATAATATTCTGTGGTCTCCTAGAATCTTAGATTCAGAAGTTTTATCAATTTACATTTAGATGTCAACGTCATTCGTGCACCAGATGGTTGTATCCTGACTTGGTGTATTTGGGAGTTGTCATAGCTGGAGAACATCGGAAGTGCTTTCTTTCATTAGACAATCTAGCTGAATATTGTAAGTAGGCCAACTATGTAAGAACTATCAGTTACTTTGATTGTACCAAGATCAAGTATCTGTGTTAATTATCGTTGTTCTGATCATATTTGCATGAACAAGTGTTGTCCTGTTGAACTATGGCTCCAGAATTCCTTCCACGCGGAGATTTGGGAGCTTGATTTGTTAAAGCTGTTTTTTCCTTGTCTGTGACTCTATCATTTAATTGTCTTGACTTGAATCTAGAATTTGTTGGCCGTCTCACATTGGATAATGGTGAACATTGTATTTTGGGCTTCGAGATCTTTTATGCAGCAATGGCTACTATGATTACTTCAAAGATTTGTATTAGAATTTTAAACAGTAAAACAAAACAATCGGGAACTTTACTTTCGCAGTTTATGCTTGTTTGTTTACATTTTTAGATTGACCATGCTCTTCTTTTACTTTACTTCCCCTTTCAGATTCAAGTAGAGTCATGGACTCATGGAGGTCATTACTGTGTACTGTTAGTTGACATTGTTAAATAATATTAATCTTCAATGAGATGATGTTTCACTCTTAACCTGGAATACAGGAGTTACAACTGTTGATATGCATGTTAAAGTATATTTTAGATTAAAGCTTCCTGGAATTTGGCTTGATCTGCTTATCTTTTTACTTGCCTTACATTGCAGTATGAGCACACTATGTTACTGGAGTTGCTCAAGAAAGGTCATTTGGAGCCAGAGAAAAAGATAGGCAACGGGATTCAAGCTTTCCAAGTTCGTTTCCATCCTCAGTTTAGAAGTCGTTGCTTCTTCCTGATAAGGGATGATGAATCAGTCGATGATTTCAGCTTCAGAAAGTGCGTGGATCACATACTTCCCTTGCCAGAAAACATGCAAACAAAACATGATGTCAATAAGGCACTGGGTGGAGGTGGAAGAGGAGGCCGTGGCCGTGGTCGTGGTCGAGGCCGAGGCCGTGGTAGAGCAGGAAGGTGGAGAAATTGAGGCAACAGTCTCTTTTTTATTTGCGATGGACTTAACTAAATATTAAAAATATCAACTATGGGTAGAAAGAAACATCTTAAGATATTTTTTCTACATATAGCAAAACTGCTGAGCTATACAAAATGTGATTTCTATTGCTTGTTTGTTTGCTAAACTGTGTTTCGGAATTGGGTTTATGCTATTTTCTGTTGCAATTGCTTTACCTTCCATCTTGTTGTGTCATTTGATTCACGATCGAATGCCATTTATTATGTGATCTACATGTGCTCTTTCAATTGAATGAGTTTTTTGTAGATATTTGCAATTTGCTATTGGCATGATGAATAAGTCGAGCTCAATCCGTGGCGTGCCTTGCCCTTTTTCCAAGTAGCTTTGCCAACTCAACCAGTGGAACATTGCTAGTAGCCGAAATTTGTTGAAGGGGTAAAAAGAAGAGAACTAAAAAGATATTTTACCTCTTCTATAGTAGCTTTTCTTATTCAACTAGTACGGCAATACTTTTAAACTTTTTATTTTCTCTGGTTCTCTTTGAGAACTGTACAATGTCTAGTTTAACATACCAAGTATGTCGTTGAAATATTTTGGTTTTTGTTGTAAAACCAGTGGATACTATTCTGCTTTGGATTTTCCAGCATGATTTTTTCCCATCCAAAAGACTGCTTTAGATGTTCCTTTGATGGAGATGTTTTAAAATGATCCTTTGCAGTTTGCATTCGATGTTGGATCCTGAACCAAGACAAGCTGTTGTACAAGGTGATAATATTCGAAAATAACAAAATACTAGACGGTTGTTTGATCTTGCTATTAGCTAGATAGCATAAAAGAAAGGCAACGAGAATTGATTTGAAAGACATGAATTGAAGTTAACCCCAAACAAATTCAAGATTCCATTTACTAAGAATGATCGACATCATTCCAAGCAATGTTACTAAGTAGTACATAAGTCACATGACAACAAAATCCTATTACACTGGTTACTCGTATCTCGGTGATAAAATCGCTTCAATATGCAGCAAGAGGGGGTACAAGGAGGAACACATTTCTCGAGTCGTCTACAAAACTGGAATGCAGTTGCATCAACATATCTGAGATCGCTGAAATCCCTTATTTCTTCTCGATGATTGAAACATTAGAAAAGCTCTAAGCAGTCACAGGTTGCTTCTGAATGAAAGCTACACCTTTCTCAATGCTGGCCTTTAGCTCTGGCTTGAGCTCTTCTAAAGCCTTCTGTTCATACTCGGATAATCCTTGGAGGTCTGATGAAATCAATGCCTCAACCCCATTCCGTCCTAGCTTAACCCTTGAGGCGAAGAATGGGAGCTCTGTCAAGTCAGACTCGACAAAGGTGCACTCATAGACATCACTATCCCCATCAAGAGCACGGAGCGAGGACTCAACAAATCTTGCTGCGGCATAGGCCATAGAAAGAGTAGCTGACCCTGCACCAGCCTTTGCCTCAACAACTTCTGTCCCAGCATTTTGAATCCTGACAGTTAGCTCCTGAACTTCTTCATCAGTGAAAGTAACTGACGGTTTTGTCTTTGACAGCAAGGGCAAAATAGTAATCCCAGCATGACCTCCAATGACTGGGACATCAACATCAATGAGCTTTAGGTTTTTCTTCTGAGCAACAAATGTATTTGCCCTTACAACATCAAGGGTGGTAACTCCAAAGAGTTTCTTTGGATCATATACCCCCTTTTGCTTCAAGACTTCCGCAGCAATTGGCATGGTGGAGTTAACAGGGTTACTAATAATGTGGATGAAGGCGTCGGGGCAGTTATCAGCAACAGCCTCAACTAAAGTCTTCACTATGTTGGCATTAATGTTAAATAGGTCATCACGGGTCATTCCCGGCTTCCTTGGAACACCGGCAGGTATGACAACAACATTTACATCCTTTAAACAAGCAGCCAATTCAGACGCTCCAGTGAAATCCAATACCTGAGAGGGTGTGTTGCAGTGACTAAGGTCCGCTGCAACTCCTTTTACATTTGCTATATCATAGAGGTGCAGTGCAGAAACCAATGGTGACATCTTGATCAGAAGTGCTAGTGGCTGGCCTATACCACCAGCAGCTCCTAGGACTGCTACTTTATAAGATGCCTGAAGCTGGACTTTTCTGTAAGATATCATGTTATATTTTCGGACTTTACCAATATAAGAGCGCTTAAGAGCTGCAGTGCTTTCACTGCCTAAGAGCGATGATTTTGATTCACAGCTCACAGAGTTAGCAGTCTTGAGGCCATTGAAATTCCATAGGTAATTTGTAGAATTGAATCTGATACCAGAGGGCTTTGACTGTGAATATGGGCCTAGTTTGGAGCCGGCAGATGCAGCAGATCTAATAGAAAAGTTGGTTGTTGACGTTGCTGCCATCTTACAACCTGCAAAAATTAAAAGAAATACAATTTCAAACCATCACTTTACCAGTACACTGCAGTAGAAGAGTTTCAATATCGAAAAACTAAGGCAAAGTTGAAGCATATTAAATTCAACTAAGATTAGTGTTTGAAGCATGTCAAAACAATAATAGCGCTATTCAGCAGCACTCCAAGAAATAGACAAGTGAATTAGTGGTTTCCATGACCTACTTTATAGCTAAAGCAATAATAGAAAAATACATGTAATTTAAGCAAGCCAATCAAACCTAACCTTCAATCATCAAATGCTAAAAGATCTCTAGAACGAAGCTAGAAATTTCAGATTCTTGGCAACATCATTCTTTAAAGGCTCATTGATCGTGAAATCTTATTATGTTGCTATTTATCACATTTTAGGTATCACGAAAGTGCAGAAATCCACATATCATTTTAACAAAACATCTTATCATTCAAGGAAATTTACAATAAAATTTGCTACAACCAGAAATAACTAAAATGGAATGCTAAATCACAAATTGCGATTTTGGAGTGAACCACTGACAATGTTTCAGAAAGGCAAAAAAAATTCTCATATCATTTTCACAAAACATTTGGTCATTCAAGGATAGTTTACACTAAAAACAAAACCCATACAATCACTGGACCTTATTAAAGGGACAACCCCACATCTGAGTAAATATAAAAATAATAAATAATATAAGAATTTGGACTTATCCTTGACCTTTTATGATGGAATCCAAGCCTCCATATATTAGAGCCCATTAAGTTAAACGAGCAATTTGTCCATGTAATGTTCAAACTAGCACTCGAATCCCAAGATTTATTGAGTACTTGGGTACTCCTCTCAACAAGATTGACGGAACCCAAGCCTTAATAAACCTGACAATCAGGTCCCAAATTCATGCACTCTTTCCACAGTAAGTACCTTGGCATTTCTCTAAATTGGCTTCAGTATAAATCTAAATATAAACTCCAATTCAAAATAGCTAAACAGCTATTATACGTTAAAATGCCGTATATTCCCATAGCTGTAATGAAAAATTAATAAAGGAATAGGTTCAAAAGAAAAACTATTGCCCATAAAATTCATGTTTGAATCTGGGTGGAAAAAAAGAACAAGGTGATATAAATTGGTTCATCGTCCACATATTAAATTAACACATACGCATTCACAAATATAATACAAACCGCAAGATCTACAAATTAACGAGTTAGAATCAAAATCTTAAAATCAGATAGAATTAACTTACAATTCTTTTTCCTTGTTTTCTGGAGGGCTTGCGTAGAACAGAAAATTCCTAACGAAGTGAAAGAAATAAAAAGAGATTAGAGAAAGCAAAACAGGATTTGATTACCTTCGAGAGATACTTTCCAGGTGGGTGATTCGAAACGTATAAAAAGGCGGCTTTTTACACATACACGCTGGAGTGTGTGTATTGGTTGACCGTAGAGTTTGTTTAGCTCATAAGTTTCTCCGCCGCATGTCCTCGACCAAATCTACACCAATATATATACACCGACGCAATCCGTAACGGTGTGAAATGTTGTACTTAAAAATTAAATTTTTTTTTTTTTTCCCACTGCATTTCTTTTATAAAAATGCAATTCTTTTCTGGTTACACATTTTTGTGCAATTTAGATCAGGAAAAAATAAATAAATTTATTCGAGACGGCATTGATTTGAAGCTCTTTTATTGGAATCTTTAATGAGGTAATGTTGGGAGGTTGTTCTACAGAATTTTTAATAAAAGTTCAACAAGTTTCGATAAATGTTGATTAGATGTATGATTGAAAAATTATTAAAATGATGGATATCATGAAATGCGTGTTTCAAATTAAAGTCGTATCGGTTGAAAAATTCGTAATATTTTGAAGAAATTTTATTAAGCACTCGATTGTTTTCTGATTCAGTTCCAAACATCTTGGCCCTGCATTTGGAATTGTCTTTTTTGGACGACTGAGATTGCTTTTTTATGAAACAAAATCGAATGGGGGTGGTTGGCGGGCATAAAAAGGCCACTAGTCTTCATTTACCCCATTCCATTTGTGTACACATTCAACTCATGGCTTAATTTCAACTTTGATAGCAATGCGAACATAAGCCAATTTCTATGATATTTCGAAGTGGACTTCCTTTTTTTTTTTTTTTTTTTTT